AATTCATAGATTATCTTCTTCCTGAAGACTTTGCATTCATTCTTATGGAAAGTCCAGTCAATTGTCTGACAATTTCTGTCGCAATAATACATTCGAAGACATTTCGAGCATCTCTTCAATTGATCCGTAAGTTTAAGACAATTATCGCAATGTTTTCCTTTAAAAGAGGAAAGAATTGAAAATAATAGTGGTTTGCATTTGAAGACAACGTCTCCAGCGATGTATGGTTTCGATGAAATGACAGGCATTTTGTCTCAATTTATAACTCGTTGTAATAATTTGTGATCACTTTCTCACTGAAGTCATAAATAGTGTAATTATAATAGATTTTAAAGATCACATCGTTATATACCTTAACTAACTAAACATTATTAATTGCTTTTATGACTAATATTATATAATATGTACTGTACATATAATCCATGTTATAAGCATATATTATGCAATTATTAAAACTAATTATAGAGAAATCACAAATCATAACATTTTTATCGCATTATGTAAGTCTAAACAAAATACATTATATAATAATTGTTTAAATATTTTTACGTTTGCATTAACTAAAGCTAAAAGTGGTTTTATTTAACGAAAATTATATTTGCTATCAAACGTGACATTAATTAATTATATCCCAAACGATCTCTTTTAATATCCTCTCCATCACCACAATTGATGCCAATTTTTCACATCATTATTACATTTTAATACACATTTATAATTAAAAGCAATTTTATTGATTGTTATGAAATATAAATATAAATATACAGAAATGAAAAATAATTGTTACAAGTATTAAAACATATCCAATAGTAATCAAAAGCATAATAATTGGCACTTATTTATAATACTGTATTAATTTTGATTTGAAATAATTGTTATATTTAAATATAGGTATTAAAGGCATTGAAACAATTGTAGTTATAATTATATAAATATTGCATTTTATATTGAAATAGACAGTAAAATAATTAATACTTGTTGTAATTTAGATATTAATATAAATTGATTCAAATGGTATTCAATTTTCATTAAATCTTCATATAATTTCAGTTAAAATAATATTATAAAGTAATTTGAAATAACTATTAGTGTTGTTTGAAATTATGATTAGTAGTTGTTAGATATTTTACAGTAAAAGTAAGGCAATTGAATTGGCAAATGTGTTGCAAAGCATTGCATACCAGGGATGGTCTGATCCATGGGTGACCAATACGTGCCGTTCAATTCGTTTGAACCAAAGTGTGAGCAATGAATGGCTGGCTTTCTTTGATTTTGCGAAACATATAAATGATTTCAACAAACTGTAAGAGACGTGTGGATGAAATTCACCATAAATTTCCTCCAAATATTTCATTAATTTATTGTTCATTTCGTACGAGAAGTTCACGTTTGAAGAAATGGACGATTGAGAGGCTGACCAGTGATTTATTTCCTTTACGTTGAGTTCATTAAATTCTTGATAATCCATGTGTTTATCCAAATGTAGTCTACATTTGTCACAATTGCAGACAATTGAAGACCCATTTAACTGTCGGCGTCTGCCGTCGCGATTCATATTCAATAAAATCCTAGACATTGTCATCTCTTCGCCGACGGCTATCGGTTTAATGGCACGGATTTCCAGCCATCCATCTGTTGATCACATTTACTATTAATTTATAGTTAATTTAAAAAAACTTATTATACGAACCGTTGCCGCAGATGACAGTCGTGTTTGGGACACATGAGTGACTCAATGGTTGTATTGCCAGACTTAATGCACTGCCCGTAACAGCGATCAAATCATTTGGATTATCGCTAATATAAGACACCATAGAATTGTTAGCAAACATCAATTGAACGCATCCAACAAAGTCCGGGACATTGCAGTCGATGTCATGAAAGCGATTAAAGGAATCAACATTTGTTAGAAAAGCCCGAAACAAATCCTCTGAAATATTATTCATATTATAATTGCTTTTCAATTCATTGAGACAAACATCCGATCCGTCAATCAAAGTGTGTCTTTTGGTGGCAAATGTTTTGTCACTTTTCATCCGAAGATAGAACCGTTGAAATGGTAGACACATTACATCCAATGCAGTGATTGTTTTCCCTCTGAAGACTTTGCATTCATTCTTATGGAAAGACCAGTCAATTGTCTGACAATTTTTACCACAATAATTCATTTGATGACATTTTGAACACCTCTTCAACTGATCCATAGATTTGAGACAATTATCGCAAAGTTTTCCTTTGTATTTGTAATCAATCCAAACCATCAATGGTTTGCATTTGAAGACAACGTCTCCAGCGATGTATGGTTTCGATGAAATGACAGGCATTTCGTCACTCTTTGGATCTCTTTTATGACAATTTATAACCACTTTTTGCGATCCCTTTGTCTAATAAAACGTGATTTTCACTACAAATGACGTGAGCTTTCAATAAATTAAGTTAAGTTTTGTAATCAATTCTTTAAAATCAATTTATTATAATTTTTAACATAAATATTTGTCAATTAATTATAATTAAAATAATTTAAAGTAACAGTAATTAAAGTGATAAAAAATGCCAATGATTTTCATTTATTAATTCTTTCTATAGTTAAAACATGTCTAACAATTTTTGTGACAAATAATACTTCAATACAAGTTATAGAAGTTATGAGATTTTGTTAAAGAATTTTAAAAAATTATCAACAATAAAATATTGTAGGCTATTTCTGGTAAAGTTACATAAGTACTGTTATACTATTAAACAATGAATATATTTATATATATATAAAGAATAGATAATTTTATAGTAATTAAATTTTTAATGATTTGTCAAATATGTTGCGAAGCATTGCATACCAGGGATGGTCTGATCCATGGGTGACCAATACGTGCCGTTCAATACGTTTGAACCAAAGTCTGAACAATGAATCGTTGGTTTTCGTTGAATTTGCGAAACATATAAATGACTTCAACAGGAATTCAGTCACAATTGGGTGAAAGCCTCCATATATTTCCTCCAAATATATTATGAAATTGGAGTCCATTTCGTACGTGAAGTTCACGTTTGCTATAAAACGTGAAATTAATTAATTATATCCCAAACGATCTCAATATATTCTCCATCACCACAATTGGTGCCAATATTTCATATTATTATTACATTTTAATACAAATTTATAATTAAAAGCAATTTTATTGATTGTTATGAAATACAAATATACTCCACAAATAATTATTAAAAGTACTAAAACATATCCAAAGTATTCAAAAGCATAATAATTGTCACTTATTTATAATACTATTAATTTTGATATGAAATGATTGTTATATTTAAAAATGGATATTAAAGGTATTGAAATAATTATAGTTATAATTATATGAAATATTGCATTTTATATTGAGATAAACAGTAAATCATAATTAATATTTGTTGTAATTTTCATTAATAATTTTCACATAATTTCAGTTAAAATAATATTATAAAGTAATCTAAAATAACAATTAAAGTTTGTTTGATATTACGATTAATAATTGTGTTTACAATAGAAGTAATTATAAGGCAATTGAATCGGCAAATATGTTGTGAAGCATTGCATACAAGGGATGGTCTGATCCATGGGTGACCAATACGTGCCGTTCAATACGTTTGAACCAAAGTGTCAGCAATGAATGGCTGGCTTTCTTTGAATTTGCGAAACATATGAATGACTGCAAGAGTAAGAGAGTGACCGTCGGATGAAACTCGCCATAAATTGCCTCCAAATAAATTATGAAATTAATGTCCATTTCGTACGTGAAGTTCACGTTTGGAGAAATCGACGATTGAGAGGATATCCACTGATTGTTGTGCTTTTCGTAGAGTTCGTCAAATTCTTGATAATCCATGTGTTTATCCAAATGTAGTTTACATTTATCACAATTACAGACAATTGCAAAAATTTGACTCAATTTCAGACGCCTTTCCTCTCGATTCATATGTATAGAAATCCTATCCATTGTTATCTCTTCGCCGATGGCTATGGACATTCATGGCTCGAATTTCCATCAATCCATCTGTTGATCACATTTACTATTAATTCATAGATTGTAATAAAATTATCTCAATAAACATACCTTTGAAGATGAAAGCCGTGTTTGGGACACAAGAATGACTTATTTGTTTCATCACCAGACATATGGCGCTACCATTACAAGCGTTTAAATCATTTGGATTATCGGTATTATAAGACACTCTATAAATGTTGTCAAACATCAATTGAACGCATCCAAGAAAGTCCATGAAATTGAAATCAATGCCATGTAATCGATAAGACACTGAACTATTCATTTGGCAAAAATCTGTTATAAGACTTGACATACTATTCAAATCATATTTGTTGAGCATATCATTGAGACAAACAACTGATCCGTCGATCAAAGTGTGTCTTTTAGTGGCAAATGTTTTATCATTTTTGATCCGAAGAAAGAGCCGATGAAATGGTTGCAATACTGCGTCCGATTCAGTCATTGTCTTCTCTCTGAAGACTTTGCATTCATTCTTATGGAAAGTCCAGTCAATTGTCTGACAATTTCTGTCGCAATAATACATTTGAAGACATTTCGCGCATTTTCTCAACTGATCCATAGGTTTGAGACAATTATCGCAATGTTTTCCTTTGTATTTGTAATCAATACAAACCATCAATGGTTTGCATTTGAAGACAACGTCTCCGGGAATCAAATGTTTTGACGCTATGACAGTCATTTCGTCACTCTTTGGATCTCTTTTGTGACAATTTATGAACAATTTTTTCTGCTCTCTTTGTCTCACAAAATGAGTTTCTTCGCCACAAATGACGTGAGCTTTAAATAAATTAAGTCAAGTTTTGTAACCAATTCTTTCAAATCAATTAATTTATTATAATTTTTAACATAAATATTTGTGAATTAATTACAATTAAACTAATTTAAAGTAAAAGTAATTAAAGTGATAAACAAATGCCAATGATTTTCATTTATGAATTCATTCTATAGTTAAAACATGTCCAATAATTTTCGTTACAAATACTTCTTTAATATAAGTTATAATTAATTAATATAAGGTTTGAAATTGCGTGTAAACTTTGAATGTGATCGGTTTTATTAAAATTAATGACTCAAATGCATGTCGATAATATGAGACAGTTAAATCATATAAATGATTGAATTATCCAATAAATTATAACCATATAGTATTATTTGATATAATATTCTTGATTCTTTCAATTTCATTTACACCAATAATAATTTACTCAACATTCTTGACTTTTAAATGGATACTGTATTTTAAATTGATTAATTTGGATAAATATATTTTTTAATTTAATTATAATGTATATGCGATTCATGAAAATTATTTGATTTATATTTTGTATATTAAATAAGTTTAAAGAGAGAAACGAGAAGAATAAAGAAGAGACAAAAGTTGCCTAAATATGAACAAAACCTCCGATTATTCATAGCAAACAAATCGTAACAATAAAACCCGATCTCCCGTTCAGACAGACTCTCAATAAATAACAATATCTTGAATTTGTTGCGAAATAAACACCTATTAGTGGCCACAAACCTATGGACAACTGGTAGACAATTGTGGGCGCATTTGTGAAGTGAACCACAGATTAAGGATGGGATGAATGTTATATTTAAAAGAAATATAAAGCCTATTGAATACACGACTCGGAAGTAATTGTTACTGTTTTTGTCGATTACCATAAATAATACCAGACATAAGCCTGGAGTAAATAAATAGTAGATCATAAATAGTATGAATTTAATCAAATGGTTTAATTTGTAGACATTCATTGCGATGATATGATGAACAGTCAGTGTATGAATTAATTGTGATAATTGGTTGGATTTAATTGATTCACTCATTTGTTCTTTGATTTGAATGAATTGGTATTTGCAGTAAAGGGCTGACAGATATAGGAAACCAAATGATGAGAAAAAATATATAAAGATTTGAGTCATCCATAGGAAAAATATTGAGTTCCAGAATAGGATATTAATGATCCGAAAGTCCATCTCTTTGTGAAAAACGTATGCCATAAGGGATGAGATGAAGAATATTGCCCAACACATGACTGTCATTATATAAAACAAAGGTTTTATTATATGTTTGCCGTAAATGTTTGCATAGATTCTGTATTTTATCAATAATTTATCCTTTAATTGATAATCATTTCGATTGAGTTTAATATCATTTAGAAATGTAATAACAAATAGTTTAGAGTTTATATCAAACCAGTGAATAATTAATGGCAAATATAAGGTGACATTTAATGCCATCAATGATAACATTATCGAAATGATTGGTTGATTACCCATCAAAGCGTTGGCATCGCTGAAGAATGCCTGAACTGATTTGTGTCGGACGGCACCCGATATACCATATCTAACACAAGTCAATAAATTTACCAAAAATACGAAATATTTCTTTAATCTCCTCTTTGGAGGTCTGTTTCCAATGATATAGTCTTCAAAAGTAGGCGAAAGAAGTACTAAATATTTAGATAAATACTTTTCAAACTCTATAACGCCTTCATTGCGATCAATGATATGATGTTTCAAATGATGTATTCTTTCTCTCAATTTTAATTTTCGAGTAAAATTTACATCAAATTTGTGCGACATTTCTGTAGTTCTATCAAATTGAAAGGTTAAGTGTAAACATTGTTAGCATATTGAAATTTGAAAGCACAATGTTTCAGTTTTTATATACAGACAAGATTTTATAATTTATATGTTTTTATAATTTATACTTTTTAACCAACAGATGAGAAATGCCCTATCACATTAACTTTATATTAATTAATTTTTGCACACAAATTGGCTATATTTCAATTTTAATTATAGTATTAAAAACAATAGCAAATATTGATTAATTTTTGTAATAATTTTTAATGATAATAAAAATATAACATAATAAATTATACTATGTACAGTTTTGTATATAATGTAATTTTTACCAATTTATGAAAATAATTTGATTTATATTTTGTATTAAATTAAATGAGTTTAAAGAGTGAAACGAGAAGAATAAAGAAGAGACAAAAGTTGCATAAATATGAAACAAAGCGCCGTTTATTCATCGCAAACAAATCCATACAATAAAATCCGATCTCCCGTTCAGACAGACTCTCAATGAATAACAATATCTTGAATTTGTTGCGAAATAAACACCTATTAGTGGCCACAAACTTATGGACGACTGGCAGACAATTGTGGGCGCATTTGTGAAGTGAGCCACAGATTAAGGATGGGATGAATGTTATATTTAAGAGAAATATAAAGCCGATTGAATACACGACTCGGAAGTAATTGTTACTGTTTTTGTCGATTACCATAAATAGTACTAAAGATAAACATGGTGTCATTAAATAATATATCATAAATAATATGTATTTAAAGAAATGGTTCAATTTGTAGACATTGATTGAAATGAGATGATGAACAGCCAGTGAATCGACTAATTGAGAGAATTGACGGCATTTAATATATTCAATCATTTGCTGTTCATTTTGAATGAATTGGTATTTGCAGCAGAGTCCGGATTTTGACGGCAGATAGTGTGTCGCATCACCCTTATATTTTCAAGAAAATATAACATACATTTATTAGTATTAAAACATACACATAAAACCGGTTTTGAGCAAACAGTATTTTAATGCTAAACATTAGGATTAATTCCAGGTAACATTATTTATATCAGATATTAAGATAGAACAATTTTATAAATTAAATATAGTGTTTATTTTAATTAAAGTGTAAATAGTTTGCTTTTTATATAAAAAAGGTGTTCCAATCTTAATATCTGATATAAATAATGTGACCTGTAGTTAATCCTAATGTTTTGCATTAAAATACTGTTTGCTCAAAACCGGTTTTATGT